GGACTAAGTTTTCCAGCAGGCTCACCACAGGGATCTCAGCAGGAGCCACCCTCAGGGGACTTAGAGCAGGGGACATCCATGGAGGTCAGAGTGGAAGAATGTGGCTGGTACCTCATAGGTGGCTCCTCTGGGGACTTTCAGATGGACCTGGGATAGGCTTTGAGGGGAAGCCAGGCACCAGCCAGCAGGGTGGAGGGGACAGGGCCATACAAGCCAACATGGCCACCTTTAATCCCCAGCTGGTTGGGACCTGGGGACCTCTGGGGTCAGGTAACACCATCTATTTACATGTTCAGATGAAAAAGACTCACAGTGTTGGAATGGCATTCCTCGGTGGTGTGATTCGAGATGACTATCCTGCACCGGCTCTCTGGTCACTGTGGTTTATTCCAGGGGCTGGGCCTTGCACGTGCCAGGCAAGTGCTCTGACATTGAACTACACCCCAGCCCTGCATCCTGTTCTTGTTAAAAGAAGTGGCAGACAAAAACACAGGCCTGGGCTGGGGTGTAGCTGGTGGCCAGGGGCTCGCCCAGCATGTGTGAGGCCTGTTTGATCCTCAGCATATTAAAACCCATCCTCACACAAAGCAACAAGACAAAGCACCAGCCCTTCTCCAAGGGCTGTGGCAGGGCCTTCTGGAGGGAGCCTGCTCATCCTTACGGCTGACCAACGTCCCAGCTCCACAGTCCTACCCATCAATCATCGCAGGGCAGTTTGCTTAGAGCTGCTAGATTACCTGGCGAGGTGGTGCAGAAGAGGTAAATGTGCCAGGGAGATCTTTTCAGCAGCTTGGGCAGAAGCTAAAAAGGAAGACGTGAAACTCCATAGAACAGCCATGAACCAGGCAGCCAGAGACCGAAGGCAGGTTCCGGCTCAGCCGAAGACTCACCTAGTGACCTGAGATGAGTCACCCCCTGAGCAAGCCCACATTCTCTCCTCTGTAAAGCTGCATGAGAGGAGAGGTAAGGCCCTGAATCAACTTGGATGCTTTGGAACTCAGAAATGCAACCATGGCTTCCAGCCTTCTAATGACCTGAGCCTTTTCGTCCAAGCAGATTAAGTGCCGATTGAATACCAAATTCTGCAGCTACCTTCAAGCACGGACATCTGCCTCCCACTCATGCATTCAATAAACACTCATTCATTCAAATATGTCTTGCATGCTTAAACATGTCCAGCATTGTGCTGGGCATAAAGGACACAGACACACAAAGGGCTCTGACCTCATGGAGTTTACACTCTAGTAAGGGAGGCAGACAGTAACCAAGTAAACCAGCTGGGCATGGTGGCCCATGTCTGTGATCTCAGGGACTTAGGAGGCTGAGGGAGGAGGATCACAAGTTCAAGGCCAGCTGGGGCAACTTAGTGGGACCCTGTTTCAAAATTTAAACAACAACAACAAAATTTTTTTAAAAGTACATTTTAAAAGAGGTTCAATGTAGTTCAATGATAGATCACTTGCCTAGCATGTTTGCAGCCCTGGATTTGATCCCCAGTACTTAAAAAAAAAAAAAAGTGAACCAAGGAACAATTAGAAAAGTGATACAGAAAAATAAAATCAGGGCCAGGGGAGGGGGTGGGATAACTTTGGATTTGGTGATTATAGTAGCTGGCATTTTAGCTGAGACCTAAATGAGTCAGTATGGAACAGGTCATGCTGCAGTAACAAATTAATCCTTATTCTCAGAGAATTAATTCAACAATGAATTCTTTTCTTTTTCTTTGTACAGTGCTGGGGATTGAACCTAGGCCCTTGCGTGTGTTAGGCAAGTGCTCTACCCTGGAGCTACCCCCTCAAAGATTCATTTCTTGACTATGCAAAGTCCATGCTCTGGCCTTCCATGCAGTGACTCAGCAATTCTGGCTGCTCCTATCTCAACACCACCTTCGTGGTAGAGAGTGAGAGCTAGGTCCTGCAAGGGCTCTTTATGGCCTCGGTCTGAAAATGATTCTCCTCACTTACACTCGCAGCTCATTGGCCCCTGCCTAGCTGCAAGGGGACTGGGAGGAAGGCTGAAGTGCATGTCAATGAGCACCCGAGACCTCTATCACACCAGTAGAACAAACAGCAACCAAAGCACCTTCCCGGCAGAAGGAAGAGGGGGGGCAGAGACAGGACAGAGAGGAAGGCAGGGATGGGTCCAGCCCTGTCACTGTGGGAGGTGTTTCCTAAGCACAGAGGGTGAGCATTCAACTGGGGCCCTGGACAGACAGGGATTTGGGTCCCAGCTTCCCCCCAGGACCACAGCGAGGGGCTGTGGGATTGAGGTTTCTGAGACTCGGTCTCCTGGGAGAGCGCTGGGTGACTCAGTGGTGGCCTGGGAAGGGGCCTGAGCAGCCTGACGCCCAACACGCTCTCAAGAGGCGGCGGCAGCTGGAGGCGGCTCCGGCTCTTCCTTCCTTTCCCAGGTTGGGGGAGGGAGGTGCCGAGGGGCAGGGTGGGGACAAGGCAGCTGCCCCGACCAGTTTTCCTGGTTGTGCCTGGCAGGCTGAGGCTGCAGACCAGCCAACCGGAGCGATGTTGCTAGTCCCAGTGGGCTGAGCCCCATGGACAGCCTCTCCAAGGGACCCTCAGCAAAGAGGGAGGAGGAAAGTGTCCCAGGCAGAGCAAGGTGGAGAAGGTGTGCCTTTCTCCAAGTGGCTCAACAGCAGGTGAATGGTTGGGGACAGCAGGCCCCCCCCCACCCCAGTGCCTGTCCAAAGCCCCAGCTGGTGGTCCAGACTCAGCCTCCCAGCCACACCCACCGAGCCTGGACGTTCTCTGCCACGTTCTAGGTGACTGACTGCAGCTCCTTCTTCCCCCAGTACTAAGGATTGAGTCGAGGGTGCTCTACCACTGAGCTACTGCACCTCCTTTGTCATTTTCATTTTGATTTTGACGCGGGGTCTCATTAAGTTGCCCAAGCTGGCCTTGAACTTGCCATCCTCCAGCCTCAGCCTCCAGGCTAGCTGGGATTATAGATAGGTGTGCGCCATGGCAACCAGCTCCTGCCAATAAGTTCTGCAAATAAGGACAGGCCCGAGAGCTCCTGCCTGTGCAGTGAGCTTCCAAGGGCAGATGGCACACAGTTAAGTGCCCCCAATAATAAGAGCTGTAAGGAGGGTCACAAGTTCAAGGCCAGCCTGGGCAACCTGGTAAAACCTAACTCAAAAAAAAATTTTTTTTTAAAGAGGCTGGAAATGTACCTCAGTGGTACAGTGCCCCTGGGTTCAATCCTCAGTTATTTACTTAAAAAAATAATAATAATAACTGCCGCAGTCTGGCTGGGCACAAAATAACCGGGAGGTCACGAGCCACTTGTAGGTTCAAAACAGGAACTACTTTATTCCCCAAACCACGCGAACTCAACGGGAACTCCGTGAGAACTCAAAAGTAGCGGGCACCCAAGGCAGCAGGAGCCGCCCCTTCTGGCAAAATGCCAGGCACCATCTTGACCTGGCCGTGGCTCTCAACAAATAACAACTTGGGTACGGTGGTGCACGCCTGTAATCCCAGCGGCTCGGGAGGATGAGGCAGGAAGATCACAAGTTCAAAGCCAGCCTCAGCAAAAGCGAGGCACTAAGCAACTCAGCGAGACCCTGTCTCTAAATAAAATACAAAATAGGGCTCGGGATGGGGCTCAGTGGTCGAGTGCCCAAGTTCAATCTCTGGTAGCCCCCCGCCAAAATAACCTGGGTGTGGTGGTGCACACCCGTAATCCCAGTGACTCAGGAAACTGAGGCAGAAGGATCACAAATTTGAGAATAGCCCTGACAACTTAATGAGATGCTGTCTCAATATAAAAAATAAAATAAAAAGGGCTGAGGGTGTAGCTCAGTGGTAGAGTGCCCCTGGGTTCAATCCCTAATACCAAAAAGTTAAAAATAAATTAATAAAAAGGCTAGTCCCCAGCAAGGTGTCTGGGAGTCTTCAGGGCCTGGCTGTGCCGGACAGTCAGCGTTTACTCAGTACTTGCTAAACAATGTCGTTCAGTGGCCCAATGAGTGAACAGGTGGATGAATGGACTATTGGTCCATTCCAGGGAGTGGCCTAAGCCCTTTCCCACCCCCAGGCGCTCCCAGCCCCAATCTCCAGATGCTTCTTAAAGACCCCCAGGTCCTTCTTGCTCTCCATTCACTCTCCAGCCCCCAGGTACCCCAGCCCCTATACACACACCCCTCCTTTGACACCCACATCAACCAGCCTGGGGAGTGAAACTGGAAAGACTGGGGAATAAAGCTTTCCTTTGTTTGAGAAAAAATCTGGGCCTAAGATAAAGCCCATGGCCTGAGGCCAGAAGGAGCCACGTGGGGAGGGGCGCCCAGACCTCTGAGTGAAGTACAGTCCAGTGTCTGGACGGCACCAAGGTACTTTAAGTCAAGGGAGGAACCTGGGTCTGGAACCCAGGCCTGGCTCTGTACTCTGCAGGACCCTATGGTCAGGCCTCAGACACTCTGCGGTTTCCGCCCCAGGGGTCTGGTCGTGAGCTGGAAGCTGGGAGATCCCTGGTGTGTTGGTTTGGGCACAGCACATGCTGTGGCAGGGCTGGTGTGCTGTCTCCCGGCACCTCCCGGTTCTCCCTGGCCTCTTCCTAGGTTTTCTGTGGCATGCACAAGACCTGCCAGGACCAGTGCAGTCACACCAGATCCCGAATCCGGATGTCCCCATCTTGGGGTTTAATGCTCTGCAGTTGCTGTGTTGAAATACACAACCATATCTTTGAATTTGTGTTTTAAGTCTGGGACGTTAGGAGCATGATCCAGGGGCTTTGAGTTTCAGCTCCCGTGGTCCTGTCTCCTGTTACCTCCACCTCCTTGGGGCAAATGCTTGCCCCTGGCATCCTGGCCCGCTTACCTGCCCTCCCAGCGTTGGCCAGGGCCTGGGCACAAGCACAGAGAGGGCTTGGGCTCAAGCAAATGTTCCCAGCAGCTTTCAGGGTATGGTAGCAGCTGTCACCGCCCTGGGTTGACCACATCACAGCTGACCTGGCAAGCAACCAGAGACGGTACCTAGGTGTGGGGAGAGCTTCTCCCCTCCCCTGTCCAAGTACTGACATCCTTGGGGGCTATTTCTCTGCAAGCTAGAAGGGAGGCCTGAGACAAGGGGGCAGTGCTGGAGCTCAAGACCTCAGCCTGGAGGTGGAGGGCCTGAGCAGCAGGTGTCAGGCCCAGGGACAGGGCATGTCCTCTGGCTGGCACAGCAGGGGTGAAAGGCGCTGGAAGGGTACATGCTTCCTGGTGGCAACCTTCTCCAGAGGGGAGAAGAGTCCCTTGTGCTGGGAGAGTCCTCTCCTCCTGCTGTGGCTACCTGCCCGAGCCTGGCTTCTGGTCAGCTCAAGGGACCCTCCAAGACAAGCCACGAAATATTAAATATTTATTTTTTACTTATAGGTGGACACAATATATTTTATACTTATGTGGTGCTGAGGATCGAACCCAGTGCCTCATGCATGTTAGGCGAGCGCTCTGCCTCTGAGCCACAATCCCAGCCTCTCATTTTGATGATTCTGCAGATGAATTCATATATGTGTATATATATGTACATACATATATTACAAAAATATCCATCCAACCATATATGGATGGATATTTATATATTAAATGTTTATTTATTTTATAAAAAATAGTTTATTGCATGAAATTTAAGGAATTCCCAAGCACTCTTATATTCATAAAAAAACAACATGCTTTTTAAAGTTACAATCTGTTACACACAGTGACACCTTTCCTGGGAACAGCCCCAAACTAATGACTCCTTTTACCTGCACATGAATTTAATTGATATTCATATTTATTTAAACCAAACTGCACTATATAAAAATGAGTGGCAAAATTCATGCTAGCAATTTCTTTTATTTACTTATTTATTTAGGTACTGGGGATTGAATCCAGAGGTACTTAACCACTGCCCACACTTGTTGTTTAGGGCCTTGCTAAACTACTGAGGCTGACTTTGAATTTGCCATCCTCCTGCCTCAGCCTCCCTTATAGGCGTGCACCACTGCGACCGGCTTCATGCTAGTAACTCAACTTTTTAATTTTTCCTTACTTAGAATGACATAAATAGAAAATTTAAAACACCAGGACAAGCTGAGAGAGAGACTATGGAAGTGTCATTCTTCCTTACTTTTTAGCAAGGGGCCCTGAAATTTCATTTTGCAGTGCACCCCATGGATCATGTACCTGGCCCAGCCATGGCCATGCCCAGGAAAACACCTCCCCAGCTCACCAGCCCTGGCAGAAGGGGCAGCTTCCCAACAGCTTCAACAGGAAGTACCAGGCATAATAATCATTGGCACAATCAGGGTCACATGCCCTCCCCAGAGCCAATCACAGTGGGCAGGGAGATGAGGGCTCTCTGAATGGCCAGGTCTGGGCATGTGACCATCCCTAAGCGTAGGGTGCCTGATTAGCTCCACCTCTTCCCCTTCTAGTGGGTTCTTTTAGGAGGGATCCTGTGCCCAGAGGGAAGGGAGCAGCAAGTTACAAACTTCCACTGTGCTCCCTCCACACACTTAGTTTGAAACAAAAAAGAAAGCAAAAAACCCAAAGCGCACGGCCGGGCAGGAGAGAGCTCGTGAGCTCCTCTCTGCTGCTCCATGGGCCCAGGCTCCTTTGCAGGGCCCTCCTCTTCCTTCGGAGCTGGGAATACCCAGGGCTCGGCACGACTGTTTTCCCTCCCTGCCCGCTCCCCTGGGCCCCTCAATCCTCTGACAGCGCTGTCCAGCCAGGGTGTCTCTCCAAACGCCATCGTGGGGGTCCCAGGCCCACCTGACCTCTGCTCTTGAGCCACTGGCCTCTCAGAGCTCACCTGTCTGAGACCAAACCCGAGAGCCACCATCTCTCCCACAGCCCAGCAAGCTGTTCAGGCCAGAACTTTTGACTCCTCATTTCTCACGCCCAAATCCAGCTCATCGCAAATCCATCGGTCTGCTCTCCTTTCGGGGTCACCACCCGCCTACTTTCAGGGCTGCTCTCCGCCTTGCCCGACCCCCGCAGGGGCCCTCACTAGCCGAGGTCTTGCTCAAGCGCCAACCCTCTTCCTTCTTGCCATTCTCTGGCATTCGGAAGTGTTTAGGTTGGATGGTGGCCCCTCCCGCTGATGCGCACCGAGGGCTCTCCCAGGCCCCTCTGAGCCGCTCCAGCAGCCCTGCCTCTCCGGCCTCACTCCGCGACCTCCAGCCATGGCCTCTAGCATTCCCCGCTGCATCAAGGCTGTTCCCGCATCAAGGCCTCGGCACTTGCTCTTCCCCTGCTGGGAATTTCCTCTCGGTTCTTTCCGTGGTTAACTCTGGAGCCCACTGGATCTGTTCACTTGTCTCCAAGCCACACCCCTCTGTCACGCTCATCCTGTTTTTTCACAAATGTCCTCACTGCTGATGCGTTGGGTGCATTGCTCCTTCATCCCACCAGCAGATCCCCTCAGTTCCCAGCTCTGGCCCAGCACCTGCAGAGTACAAGTTGTGCACATAGGAGGTGCTGCGCAAACTTTTGTTGAAGGAGCCTGCTCCTGTGGGTTGGGATGAGCTCTGGCCCAAACCAAAAATGGTCCAGGGGGAGACAAGGAGGCCAGACTTTCCCCGGAGAGACATGGGTGCCAGGACTGGGGCCTGGACTCTTCCTGCTGTGCCAGGAGCCACCTCTATGTTGCTGAAGCACTGCCAGTTCAGCCCACCCAAGGCCAAGGTCATTGGTCTGCCCTGTCTCCATCAAGGGTGCTGCCCATGCTGGGGAGGCTCAGAGCGGGGGACGTGGGACTTTGTCCTGCATGGTGGCTCTCCAGAGGAGCTCCTGCAGCACAGCGGGGAGAGGGGTAACGTGACACCCAGAGTCAACGAGCTGCTAGATGATAATATCTCAGCCTGGGGCTCAGGTGGTCTTAGGTGAAGGACCAGCAGGTGCAAAGGCCCTGGAACAGCAATAAGTTTGACCTCTTGGAGGACCACAGAGAGCAGAGTGACACAGGCACAGGGAGAGGAGGGAGTAGAAGGAGCCCTGGGGGCCAAATCTTGTAGCAGAGTCTCTGTATTTGGAGGGGCTCCTTGAGGGATCTGAAGGGAATCACCTGCCGCCGCTCAGGCAGACTCTCGGGATGGTGGGCAGTCAGGGGAACAGCGAGAATGCTGCAGCTAGCGAACCAGTGACAGCTGACAGTGGCTGAGACCGAGCTGGCCATGGTGCAGATACGGGACAAGTGGACAGACCTGGTGTAGCCCAGGAGGGAGACCAGCAGAACCTTCCCAGGGGTGTAAAACAAATTAAGGGCAGTGCCCTGGTTTGGGACCCAATGCCTGTCCACTGAGATGGGCTGCCTGGGCCTAGGGAGACCAGGAGCCCACTTGGCCATAATCAGTTCCCACTACTGCTGAAAAGTCTTCCTCCTGCCCAGCCAGAAGTGCCATGTCATGGTGGCCCTTAGGACCTGCCTGGTGTCAGACAAACCAGGACGAGCTGGAGGCCCTGGACAGCCACCAAGATCCCCAAGCTCCACCTTTGTCATCCCTAAACAAGGCATGATGCCACTCTCCGGCTTGTTGTGGGGACTCCATGAGGGGGCAAGGGAGCATGCCCCGTAGGCAGCACGCCGAGATGCGTGCCGTCAGAACTGCGCCACTGTCACTGTCCTGCCTCTTCACTCTTTGTGCAAGATGGCACCTGCCATCTGGAAAGAAGCTGGGCTGGGTGCCCCAGCCAGGGCCAGGATCTCAGCAGGAGGGGGGCTTCCAGCCACAGGAATGGGTGCAGCACAAGACAGCCTCAGCCTGAGCCCCAGGGAGAGGCCAACCTGAGCCTCAGTTTCCTCTTCTGTGGAAGAGGATGAGGTGAGACAGGCTTTCAGGCACTTGGCTCCTGGCCCAGTGTGCAGGTGGGACACATAGAACAACGACTCCCAGGATCTGCAGAAACCCCAGGGGTCAGGAAACCTGTGGCCAACGAGGACATACTGGCCAGAAACTGGCATCGAGTGGGGTATGAAGCACTCCCGAAAGAGCTGGGCCTGGGGTCCACAGCCAGCAAGGGGGCAGGCACTCTTGGCTCCAGATGTTGTGACACCGCAGAGCCCCACAGGGTCCTCGTGGCTGGGGGCTCTGTTCCTGCTGCAGGGAGGCCTCTCACCCTACCTTATAGTGTCACAGTTCTTGCACGCTTTTGTGTCCCTCTGACCCTCTCAAGAGAAGGACAGCATCCGCCTCCTCCTTCACCCTTGGCTCGCACTCAGGGACTGCACCCAGGATGGAGGTGAGACTGTTACAGGGCTGTGCTCATTTGGTGGCTCGGGTTTGAGCAGCGCTCGTCAATGAAGTCCTGACCCCTCTGTGCCGCCACCACCCGCCCACCTCCTGGGCCTGCGGAATTTAAATGAGATTGTGCCGGCAGGGCCCTGGTACTCAGTGGCTTGTACAGCCAACCCGGAGGCCATGTTTACTTACCCCATGCACAAGTGAGGACACCGGGGTGGGAGGTTATAATGGGTCAAGGTCACACAGCAGCAAGTCCAACAGCCAAATCCAGAACTCAGACATGCCCTGACCACCACAGGCCCCCTTGCAGAGGCTACCAACTTGCACTGGAAGGGTTGGTGGATCCCATAGCCAGGACATAGTCGCCATAATGTCCATAGGCAGAGGTCTGCGCAGCCGGTCCACCTGGACCCCCAGCCTGCAGTCCCGCTGGGGCTGCTCTCCAGGCACCTGGAGAGGCGCAGTCCCTGCTGTGCCTGCTTTTCAGGTGTCCCTTTTGAAAAGCCCCATTCTAGTCTCAAGCAAATAAGAGTAAGGGGTTTGTCCACACAGAGGCCCTCCCGAGTCAGCAAAGGTCCGGCTAGAGAGGGGGCTGCAGAGGGAGAGCACTGAGACCAGAAGTGGGTGTGGTGGCTGCCCACAGGAGGGAAGTGCTTGGGCAGCTCCAGTGGCACGTGGGGCACTGCAGAGTCTGCTTCATGACATGCTTCCGGATTGTCATCCCCATGTGCAGAGAAGTGACCAGGGCTCCGAGAGGGTGGAGCCCAGGCCATGGTCACACAGGGCTGATTCTTGTCCCAGGCACTCTGGTGCAGGGAAGAGACTGGCTCAAGCTCGACGGCCAGGGCGCTGCCCCTCTCTGGGGCTCAGGGAAATGCTCAGCAGAACCACAGCATCAAGAAAATGGAACTGCCACTGCCACCACGCCCAATCCAGCCACAGGTGGAGAAAAGAGCACCTCAACTTGGAGACAGAGTTCTGTACCCAAGCCATGTCTGTCAGGGTCCCAGGAGCAGCAGTTGGGCCCCAAAGTTCACTTCCAGGCCAGGGAGGCTGCAGATGCCCATCAGGAAACTGCTAGCCCTCCCCTCTCCCCGGTTCAAAGGCCCTGGAGGTACCCACTGCCTCTCTTGCAGGCCAATCAGATGGACTCTCAAACCCTGTCCCCCCAGCTCCCCTAGCCTGCTCCTTCCAAGGGTCTCTGGGCCAAACTACCTGCTGAGAAGTCACTGCCCCTTCCTTTACCTGAGGTCCCTAAGCACTGCTTCCATGTCCCTCCACCTGCCTGAAGGGACCAGCCCCCTCCTTCCCCTAGAGGTGCACAACTCCCAGGTACACTTTAGAAGAAAATATTTTTAATTAGTTTCCTTTTTTCCCCTTAGTACAAGAGTAACATGAACATTGTGGAAAGATCTGAAAATCAAATAAGAAACAAAAAGTGAAGTTAATACCCAAATGCCTTTCCTCTTTTGTTCACAATGTTCAACGTCTTCATGACCTTCTGTGGAAACAGGAAAACCCAGTAGGATTTCCCAGAACTCTCACAGCCCCACCACCCAGAAATGAGCACATTCTCAGTTTCACCCAATAGATGGGCAAACAGACGCAGAAACATCTAGAATGTGGGTCTGTTTTTCACTAAAACAGGCTGCACTTCACCCACCATCCTTGCAGCTGCTCCCCGTTGAACCAGGGATCGTTTGCACCTTTCCAGAAAGAAAGAACACAAACAAGCCCCCTGATGGTCCACTGTATGACTGCCCCACCGGCCTCGGACCACCCCAACCACTGGACAACAGAGCTGTTTCCCAGAGGCCGCTGCAGCCAGCCTCTGGCCCTGGCCTCCCTACTGCTCCTCTGCAGCCGTGTCCTTCCCCTTCTCTGCTGTCCTAACCCACCCTCCTCTTTTCCCCAGGCCAGGGCACCTCTGCCTCACAAGCCCAGCACCCTCGGAACACTGTCTGAGGCCCCCACCTCCAGTGCTGGCCATTAGGCTTCAGGACAGCCACGGCCACCTGGTCTCAGGCTAAGTGCCCAGTCTCACTTCTTCCTATTGGATCTTTCCAGGTGATCTCACCCTCTCCTTCATCTCCATCATCCTTCCATGGGAGAACCCCTGACTCTATCTGGGTCCTTCACAGATGTGTCCCAAGCATCTGCCATGTGGGCACCTTCCTGGAGACATCAGCAGATGGTCAGAAGAGGGGCCTGCACTCCCAGGGAGCAGTGGGACAGGTGCCAAGAGCAGGTGCCCACCTCTCCCCTTCCCCCAGAAAGTCACCAGGCATGCATAACTACAGCCCCCATGGCCACGGCTAAGGCCACGCTCAGGGCCAGGTGAGGCCTCTCAGAGGAAGTGAGGCCTTAGCTGAGCCCTGCAGAATAACCAGGGCTCCCCAATGGGCAAAGGGTTCTGGGAACAGGGTCAACCATTCAGTCACCCAGAGTTTAAGGAATGCAGAGAAGGCCAGTGCGACAGGGACAGAGAGCAGGGGAGGGCAGGGAGCCTAAGGCTGGAGTCCTGGCCGGTCCAGGGGGAAGATCCTGGCTCTGCGTCCCCATATGGGGGCCTGGGTGGCTCTGCCAGCCTCTGTGGTCAGGCCCACGTTCTGCCCAGTTGAGCTTTCCAGCCCAGCCCTCCCTGCAGAGCCCAGCACCTTCTCTCGCAGACTGCTCCTTTCTGTGCTCTCCCAGAGACGGCAATGGGCCGGTGTCACCGGGAGCTCCTCCTCTTCCTCCACACCAAATTCCTACCTCCACGTCCCTCTCCTGGCTCAGGGTCTTCGACTTCTTTGACCTGGGCCTGGGCACCAGCGCCATCGCTAACAGCATTTCTAACCCAGCACACAGTGGCCGCCGGAGTTCCCAGCTCCCCAACCACGCCCATGCACATGAGCCTGTCCCCTGGCCTTTCCAGCTCGACGATGCCCTGGACTCAACTGCGTCACACTGACTGTGTGCCTGCTGTGTGCCAATGTCTGCTGGGCCCTGGGATCCCCAGCACTGGGCGGGCTGGCTCATCCCTGCCCTCCTGCAGCTCGCCGAGCAGAGAAGCTTCACATAAACACGTACTTCTTGCAGAGAATTAAATGCACTTGGGTTGAGGGTCAAGGCAACATGCAGACTGCTATAGGAGTCCACAGCAAGGGCCCCAGGCTGGCCTCAATACCCTGCACGACCCCACACATCTCTGCTGCCACCTCCTGCCACCCACTCCTCCACACTGCTGCCACAGTGGCCTCACCAGCCGCCCTGGGCCTGTGTCCACCATCCAGGGCCCACTCCTCCTACACAGCCTTCCTGGGCACAGTCCCTAAGTCCAGCGCCTGAATCACTGGCTGCCTCCCTCCCTGGCTGGTCTACGCTGTTTCTCCACTAAGCTCAAGTTTCTTGAAGGCAGATGGAGATGGACAGAAAAGGGCCCTGCACCCCCAGGGAGCAGTGGGACATCTCCACGTTCCCAAGAGCCTTTTATTAACATGTACTTCACACTTGCTGGATTTAGGAAAAATGCATCACCTGACTGGGGCCCATCTTGGGCTCCAAGCCCCCAGCCCTGTGTCCCTTCTGACCAATTCTGCAGGTGTGTACAGTGGTCTCTTTCCCTGACTTCTGCACGCAGAGGCAAGAGGGGCACAGCCTGCAAGCCCCCCTTGTTCCTGGGGTCTCTTTGGCCTAGGGTGATGGGCAGAGCCCACCCTGCACTCTGAGAGCTTCCTTGGGACCCACTGGCCCTCAGGGGTGAGCAAGTAGCCACCTGTAGTGGGAGGCTCCATGTCCTGCCCTCTAGGCCTGAGATGCTTCCCCCTGCCGTCCTCACAACTCCACTGCCCCTGCTCGCCCGGCGGGAGCCGACGGCACTGCCTCACCTTTCCATGCAGGTGACCCTGGCACAACCCACCAGCATGGCTCTCACCACCACGCTTCCCATGACGGAAGGACAGCAGCACTAGCCTGGCTGCCTCAGCATCTCAAGGACCAGCTCTCTCACCTCCCCTCTTGCCTGCACCTTGGCCCTCGTTCCACCCCCTAGACCCTCCCCTGCGCACCTCAGGAAGCAGCACGCCCTCCCAAAGCCGTCCCCAGACCTCCAGTCCCACCTGCGCTCAGGCCTCTGTTCCTCCAGGACCCTGAAAAGAGGGGCAGGTATGCAGTTAAGAACTGGCCTGGGAATCAGATTCCTTCAGGTGGGTGGGCTCGGGGAGGGCCCTCAGGGGGCCCTTGAGTGAACAGATCTCAGGGGTCTTCTAAAACACTGGTGTGTCCAGAGGCATCATGAGGCTCCCTCCACCCATTCCCAGCTTCCCTTGGAAGCAGCCCTTAGCAGGACCCTGCCCCAGCTGCCCTTCTCCCTCCCCCCACCTCCTCACCCTCATCATGGGGTCTGGTGGCTGCATCCTCGCCACGCTGCTCGATCTCCGATCTTCTTGGGCAGCCCATCCTACCCAGCCAAGGGCTAGACCAGCACCCAGTGCCCGCTCTGGTCCTCCCAGGGGAAGAGGCGTGCCCAGCACCAGCACGAACCCTCTCCCTCTGGCTCAGCAGGAGTGGCGCGAGCTGCACAGGCCAAGAGGTGGGCTCTCCTCCCACACCTCCCAAAACCTGATCTGGACCACTGCTCGGCCCACCCTGTACCCTCTCCCTGGCCACCATTCTGTGCCTGACCTCAGCTGCAGCCTCCCAGACAGGTCCTGCTCCCCTCCCACCTCACCGCAGGCCCTTCTCAGGCACAAAACCCAGATTGAACTCCAAGTCCCCAGGCCCTGGCCCTTGGCAGCACTGTGGGCTGCCCCTGCAGCTGCTCTCGGCTGAGGCCTCCTCTAGCTCAAGAAACCTCTCCACGCCACCTTCCCGCTGTTGCTGCTGCTTTCTTTACAACACACTCCCCCACCAGCATCACTGCTTTTTGATCCAAGGCTGCTGTGAACACACAGCCACCACCTATGAAATGACAGGCTCAGAAAGAAGTCAACTGTCCTGGGTTTCCTTGTCCCGTCACCAGCAGCCAGCCTCAGGTTTGGCCTCACATGTGCCTAAAGGAACCCCGTAAAGGAGGTACAGGTGACCCAGTGCTGAGGCCACCAGGGCTTAGGGAAAGCAGCTAAGACTGTTCATTCCAGCACTACAGGAATAGATGGGTGGTGGTGGTGGTGGTGGAGGAGGAGGAGGAGGAAGGCCACCCCCTTAAGAACTGCAGAGTGTGTCCCAGTGCCACGCTAGAGGGGCTGCTTCATCAACAGCCACAGCAGGCTGGGTACAGCTCAGTGGCAGAGCTCGTGTTTTGCAGGCATGAGACAGAGTTCCACCAGAGCACCAAACAGCACCACAACCAGCAGCCGTGACCACAAGCGTTTGCTCTGTGCCAGACCTGGGCTGAGGACTTCACGTCCAATGGCCACTTTATAGATGAGGAAGCTGGGATTGAGAGAGATCTGGTCATCTACCCACAACCTTGTCACTGGGGGTAGGGATGACAGGATTTGAATCCTGGTTTCTTTTTTTTTTTTTTTTATATATTTTAGTTTTCGGTGGACACAGCATCTTTATTTTATTTGTATGTGGTGCTGAGGATCGAACCCAGCGTCCCGCGCATGCCAGGCGAGCGCGCTACCGCTTGAGCCACATCTCCAGCCCTTGAATCCTGGTTTCTGCTCCAGAGCCTGAATTCCGTGTGTTGCACTGCCAGGGAAATCAACCCAAACTGAACTCCCTCAAGCCCCAGACACAGGGGCCCACAGGAAAGGACCTGATGGGACAGTCATGCGGGAAGGTGGCAGGAAAAGATGGGCCTCACACAGGCAACAGGTGCAAAACAGAGGCTTTAATCCAAACAGCAACAAAAAAGCAGGAGCTACAGGCCCAGGGGGGCACATGGGAACCAGAAGAGTGGTGATCTAACCCTGGGAGGGAGGCAGGCCCTGGGCCTCTCCTGGGAAACTTCATCTGTGACTCTCAAAATCCTGTCCCAGCCTCTGCCCAGACCATTGGCTGGTCTTGGTTCAAGCCCTCGGTTGTGCTTCTCGGTGCCCCCTCCCTGAAGGTTCTGTAGACTACACCAGGGAGGGGGCTGTGGAGAAGGGCAGGCCTGGCTGGGCAGGGAAGCCTGCAAGAGTCAGCCCAGGAACAGCCCCAGGAGAGACGTGGCCAGCTGCTGTCAGCACCCCCACCCTTGGGGGCCTGCCAGGCAACCCTTCCTTACCTCATCCCGTGAGGGGGTGGGAGGA